AGGGAAAGGGGTTGCTTTTACTGCTTTGGGAGTGGCAGAGGTGGAAGAGGTAGAGGAGGTGGAAGGAGAAGCAAACACACTTGGTGTAACTTTATGCAAATACATTGTAATTTCTGTCTGATGTTTTTGTTTTTTCATTTCTCTAAAAATGTTTCTATATGGTACCAATTCTTCTTTCACTTTTTGCTTTAGTTTCACTGCCCATATCATAGAAGGGTCCATGCTGTAAAAGAAGTCAAAAGCAGACTTGAATAATTAGAACCCTTCTGCTAGATAGTCTCATGTCAGTTTGCTTTCCAGCACTCCTTCTACATCTTCTTCCTCATCGTCTAGCACTCATTCAGAAGCACTCATTTTCATCAAGTTGTCTTCTGTGAATTGTTCTGGTGTGGTGTCTATTAACTCTTTTAGTTCTGCAAGATCCATATCTTAAACTTTTAACCCTCTACCCTCTCCCCCACTTTTCTGCTGTATCTACAGTCTCTTTTATGATTTCTTTAATTAGCTCTCATTAATCCTGTGAATTCAGGTACAATATGTGGACACAGTTTTCTCCAGCAGGAATTTATTATTTTGAGCTTGATGGCTTTCATGGCTTTTTCTATAACGATGGCATCTCCAATGGTATAATCCTTCCAGACTTTCATGATGTTCTCTCTATTCAGGTTCTCTTCCATGAGGTTGACATCCTTCCATACAGTACTGTGTGTAATGAGCCTTAAAGGTCCCATGATTCCCTGACCTAGAGGCTGAATTAGAGACACTGTGTTTCGGGGCAAGTAGACCACTTCAATGCCTTTGGTGGTGAACTCATGGGTTTCTGGGTGGCCAGGGGCATTGTCTGATTATCAAAAGAACTTTAAAAGGCAGTCCTTTACTGGCAAGGTGCTTCTTGACATCAAGGGAAAAACACATCAGTGGAATCAATCCAGAAAAAGGATTCTTGTTGTCCAGGTCTTCTTTTTATACAACCCAAAGCAAAGCCTGGCAGCTAGTATTTATCTTTTCACTTTAACACCTGACAGTTAGCAGATAACGGCAGTCCTGATCATAAACTCAACTGCATTTGTACAAAAAAGTAGAGTTAGCTTTTCCCTTCCTGCCTTAAATCTTGGTGCTCCCTTCCTTACTAGTAAGTGTCCTTTGCGGCACTTTTCTCCTAAGAATATGGCAACTACATCTGCATTAATAATTCATTTTTTTATACTTCATTAGGAGAGAAATGGAACTTTATAGCAATTCTATCAAGAAGTTTTTAAAGAACACATTGGGTCTTTATAAATTGTATTTTTAAAGTTTTTTGGAAAGAAAGATAGAAAATGAAAATAGACTTCTGATATGATTTCCAAAGAACAGAAGGTATATATTTTTTAATCAGGGTATGAGACTTACTGAAAATATTTATTGATGCTAATGTAAGCCTTCAGTTGGAAAAAAAAAACTAGGTAGTCACTTGCAAACTACATTTTTTCCAATCTTTTTTTTTTTTTTTGAGATGGAGCCTCACTGTCACCCAGGCTGGAGTGCAGTGGTGTCATCTAGGGTTACTGCAACCTCTGCTTCCAGGGGTCAAGCAATTCTCCTGCTTCAGCCTCCCAAGTAGCTGGGATTACAGGCATGCACCACCACACCTGGCTAATTCTTTTATTTTCAGTAGAAACAGGGTTTCACCCTGTTGGTCAGGCTGGTTTCAAATTCCTGACCTCAAGTGATGCACCCACCTTGGCCTCCCAAAGTATTGGGATTACAGTTGTGAGCCACCACGCCTGGCCCCAGTCTTATAATTTTTAAAAATACTCTTTCCCTTCTCTTTATTCTGAGATCTAATGTATCTATACATAAACAAACTAGGTGCTTTATATACATTTTTGTCCCAGACTTCAATGTAAACCTTAAATAATTAATGAAGCGTTTTCTGGTACCCCAAGTTGAAAAGTTATCATAATGAGGAGGCTGTGAGGATTTTTTTTCAGCCCTTGGACAGTATTTATACTAGTTTCTTTGATCTGGTTTCTTTAACCATAAAAATACAGTCCTAACTCCTCCAAAAGTATGTTATAGCCAGCAAGATTCACAACTGCCAAATCACCCAGGATTTTGCACTTCATTTAGGAAATCTGACAATGTTTTTATCCACAATATGATACAGTCGAAACCACACTTGCCTAGGAATCAGGAAGCCTGAGCTCTAGGCTAAATTTAGCCCTAAACAAACTGCGCAACTATAGCTGTTTGTTGACCACTTTGGATCTCAGTAGAGAAAACACAAATTTTGGAATTGAAATTGAAACACAAGAGTAAGTACTAAAGTTCCCCCTGCCCCCACCCCCCATCTCCACCTCTGGCTCTAAAATGTCATTTTGCTGTGAAATGCTATCTTTCATCTTCTAGGGCCTACTGAGAGGCCAGGGTCCCAGGCAACAAATGCTACAGAGAAGGTAAGGACAATTTATAAGGAAGTCCCTTGATCTCGGTTTCCTTGAATTACGCAGCTCTTCAGTCCTTAAAATGGCTATAAGACTCATTAGCATTTCAAACACTGCTGTTGCCTGTGGCAGGTGAACTCAGGGAGATTAGGAAGTAGCAAAATTCTGTTTTTGTTTTTCTTCAAGCCACAATGGGTATGTAAGCATTAACTGTTGGTATTATACATACTATTCAACATTCCCCATTCATTTTTCATGAACTCACACAACGTATCAAAGGGATGATGCTATACTCTTTAGTGCATCTCTCAAATTACAGACAGACTCATTTTACTGTCAGCAAACTTGAAGGCCAGAGTCTTCAGTTGTGAGATTATCTTATGGAAATAGAAAAAGCTTTACAGAATAGTATATTCAACCCCCACCCAACCCTACCTCCCCAGCTTTTCCTCTATACACTGCCTCTGGAAACAAGCACTGTGTGCATAAGTCAAACAGATACCTAAGCCCTCAGTGGACAGCAGCTTAGGCACCAGTGGGCAGGTGCAGAACAGGCACTGGAGCAGGACTGTTTAAGGCCTCCAGAGCTGCTCCAGGCCTCCATAGCTACTACCACCTCAACATTCCTTGCCACAACTGCTTTCTCATTCATTACAGAGAAACTTATTTCAGCATCTCTCTTCATATATTATTCCATGGATACACAGAAAAAGAAAATCACCACAGGAGAGTTTGAAAAAGATGATGATCAATGACTTTGATTGTTTCCCAAAGGATGGAAATTAGGTTGAAAGACTGGGAGTTTGGACTGGGCACAGTGGCTCACACTTGTAATCCCAGCACCTTGGTGGGCAGATCACTTGAAGTCAGGAGTTCCAAAACTAGTCGAGACAACACGGTGAAATCCCATGTCTACTAAAAATACAAAAATTAGCCAGGCGTGGTGGCATATGCCTGTAATCCCAGCTACTTGGGAGGCTGAGGTGGGAGAATCACTTGAATCTGGGCAGTGGAGGTTGCAGTGAGCCAAGATCATGCCATTGCACCCCAACCTGGGCAACAGAGTGACTCTGTCTGGGGCTGGGGTGGGTGGCGGGGGAGAAAGACTGGGAGTTTAGAACCATCAGTTCTATTTATTACTCTGCCTGTAACTGGGAAGCCATGGGCAAGTCATCTGGCCACTCTGGACCTTAGTTCTCTCATTTATAAAATGAGTAGGTTTGACAAAACAATTTCTAATATATCTGTCCTATCCAAAATTCGATTAGTTTATAATAAGATTACTAAGAACTAGGAAAGCATGGTTTATATTATAAATCAAACCTAGCTATAATATGGAGAACATTTAAATACATAGATTCCAAGGCCCCACCCAGGACCTTTACGGAGTCCTTTACACAATTAACTGGACTGTACGATCAAAGGATGAGCCGACTGGATGAACCTGTGCTGGTATTCAGGAACTGATATTCTGTGGGGATAATTAGTATTCACATTAGTGAATGGAGAAATGTGTATTTAATTTGTAAGCGATCATAAGCTAGCGGGACCAATCAGCATTTCAAACAAACTTAGAGACTGAAGGAGTGGTTAGAAACCAAGAGCATAAATGTCAAAGAGGAAAGATCAAATGTATTGCCTCTGGAGAAGAAAGAAAAACTTCACTGTGATGAAGTTAGTAAGGCTATATATATCAGAAAAAAAATCTGAATGTCAGAGTAGATAACAAACTGACCAGGAATCAGAAAATTAGCAGTGGGCCTGACGGAATTCAGGAAGTGACTGAGGCTGTCCTTGCTTGACATGGTTCTAAAATGAAAGAATGTCAGTCCCCAAACAACAGGGTTGAAATTTCAGTTGCCATGGTTTATTAACTGTAATTACATAAAGTACAAACTTGACGGCTAAATAACAGATGTGTATCATGATCAGTGACAAATCACGTCACTTCTTTCGCAGTCTGTTGCTGACTAGTCACTGTGCATCTGACAGTTACTGCACAAACAACCAAGAGTGCAGTGTGGTTGCCTCTTTGTCTTCCAGTAATGAAACCCCAAAAAGGTAACTGAAAGAGGAAACTAACACAGATGAAAATGTAGCAAAGTAACAAAAAGGGTAACAGGAATGTAAATGGAGTTACAGAAGAAATAGCTAACTGTGAGATTATTGACATTGCTGCTATGTAAGGGACTGCAGATACGCACCAGAGGAACTTAGTGAAGGCAAACTAATCAATGTAAATGAGGAAAGTGGTTGTGATGAAAGCATGAAGATGTACCACAGGAAGCAATGTTGGCAAAAATTTCACATTAAAGGAACTCTTGCAGGTATTTCATGACACTGAAAACACAAAGCATAAAATACTGGAAGCTCATCCAAATTTAGAAGGGAGTATGATGACAATTGACCAAGGCACAGAAAAGATGTTTTCTCAGATAAACTATATGAAAAAAAGGAGGCAAGCACTGTTCAAAGTACTTGGGATTTTTAAAATAAATATGGACACACCTGGTTTTATTGTGCCTCACTTTATTGTGCTTTGTAGATATTGTGGGTTTTTTTTTTGTTTGTTTGTTTTGTTTTTTTTGAGAGTCTCACTCTCTTGCCAGGCTGGAGTGTGGTGGTGTCATCTCGGTTCACTACTGCAATCTCTGTCTCCCAGGTTCAAGTGATTCTCCTGCCTCAGCCTCCCTAGTAGCTGGGATTACAGGCCTTCACCACCACACCCAGCTAACTTTTTTATTTTTAGCAGAGACAGGGTTTCACCATGTTGGCCAGGATGGTCTAGATCTCCTGACCTCATGACCCGCCTCAGCCTCACAAAGTGCTAGGATTATGGGTGTGAGCCATGACACCTGGCCTTGGGGGTGTCTTATTTTAACAAATTGAAGGTTTGTGGCAACCCTGCATTGAGCAAGTCTTTTAGCACCATTTTCCCAACAGCATGTGCTCATTTTTACTCTCTGTTGGATTTTGTTAATTCTCACAATATTTCAAACTTTTTCATTATTATTATATCTGTTATATTAATTTGTGATCAGTGATCTTTGATGTTACTATTGCAATTGTTTTGGGGTGGCATGAACCACACACATAGAATACAGTGAACATAACCAATAAACGTGTATGTCCTGACCACTCCACTGGTGGGGTATTCCTCCATCTCCCTCCTTCTCCTCAGGCATTCCTATTCCCTCAGACACCACAATATGGAAATCAGGCCATTTAATAATCCTACAAAGGCCTCTAAGTGTTCAAATGAAAGGAAGAGTCACATGTCTCTTAACTTTAAATCAAAACCCAGAATCGATTAAGCTTAATGAGAAAAACATGTTGAAAGGCCAAAAGCTAGGCATCTTGTGGCAGTTAGCCACGCTGTGAATGCAAAGAAAAAGTTCTTGATGGATTAGTTGGGAGAGTCGATCTAAGGTGGCTGAACAGATACAACTCCAGCACACAACACCCAGTGAGAGAGATGCAGAAATCCAGAGATCTCCTAGCTCCAATCGAGGTACCAAGTGCATTTCAATAGGTCTGGTCTGACGGTGAGCAAAGCCCACTCAGGGGAGATTGAGGCAGGGAGGGATGCTGCCTCACCCAAGAAGTGCATCTGGCCGGCGAGTCAGAGGCCCCCACTCTGACACTCTGGTCCAGATACAGTGCTTCCCCCAAAACCTTACCAATACACAGAACAGGGGATCTTTGCCAGTCAAGCATGGGGAAATACAAGCATGGAGTTGAATAATAATCCAGGATGGTGTCCCAGACTGGTGCACAGACCTAAAAAGATGCATAAGCCCAAAAGGTGGCCGGGAGAACCTGTGGACTGAGCTATTGCCCCCTCCCCTTGCCCAGAGAGAGAGGGAGCTGTAAGCAGGAGCAGCTGGGTAGGCCCCTACTCCATGACCGGAGAGAGAGGATGGTGAAAGGGGGAGATGGCCAGGTGCTGCTGGGCGGGTCCCTACCCTCCCCTACAAATTCCAGAGGGCTGAAGCTCTGACTCTAGCGGGTTGCACAGCCAGTGCCATAGTCTGAGCTGAACCCTGAATGATCCAGCCCAGTGGAGGAAGGGCACAACCCACCATTAGAGGGGTGGGACTGGGCTACATGTTTTAACAAAAAACACAGGAAGCCTACCTAGCAAGGGGAAGGGACAGCATTCTTGACAACCCAGCAGCGCCTACAGGTCAGTGGAAGAGGCGGGCCTAATCTCCCAGTATAAACAAAAAAGATACAGGAAGCTTCCCTAGTAACCTGAAGGAGTCCCTAGAAACCCAGTAACACCTCCACAGGCAGACAAGCAACCTCATCAAGCAGCTCCCTGACACCACAGCCAGGTAAACCCACAGAGATGGGGAAAAAAACAGTGCAAAAAAGATGAAACCATCAAAGACCAGAACACCTCTTCTCCTTCAAAGCATCACAACTCCTCAACAACACAGGAACACATCATGACTGAGAAGGAGTGCAACGAATTGACAGAAACAGGCTTCAGAAGGTGGGTTATAACAAACTTTTCTGAGCTAAAGGAACACATTATAACTCAATGCAAAGAAACCAAAAACGCTGAAAAAAGGTTAGACGAAATGCTAACTAGAATAACCAGCTTAGAGAAGAACATAAATGACTTGATGGAGTTGAAAAACACAGCACGAGAACTACACAAAAAAAATACAAGTTTTGATAGCCAACTCAATCAAGCAGAAGAATGGATATCAGAGATTGAAGATCAACTCAATGAAATAAAAAGAGAAGGCAAGACAAGAGAAAAAAGAGTGAAAATAAATGAACAAATCCTCCAAGAAATATGGGATTATGTGAAAAGACCTAACCTATGCTTGATCGGTGTACCTGAATATGATGGGCAGAATGAATCCAAGCTGGAAAACACACTCCAGGATATTATTCAGGAGAAATTCCCAAGCCTAGCAAGGCAGTCCAAATTTCAAATTCAAAACATACAGAGAACTCCACAAAGATATTCCTCAAGAACAATCCCAAGGCACATAATGGTCAGATTCACCAGAGTTGAAATGAAGGAAAAAATGCTAAGGGCAGCCAGAGAGAAAGGATAGGTCACCCACAGAGGGAAGCCAATCAGACTTACAGAGGATCTCTCGGCAGAAACCCCACAAGATAGAAGAGAGTGGGGGCCAAATATCCTTAAAGAAAAGAACTTTCAACCCAGAATCTCAAATCCAGCCAAACTAAGCTTTGTAAGTGAAGGAGAAATAAAATCCTTTATGAATAACAATTACTAAGAAATTGTGTCACCACCAGACCTGCCCTACAAGAGCTCCTGAAATAAATGCTAAGCACGGAAAGGAACAAGTACCAGTCGCTGCAAAAACAAACCAATGGGCAAAGACCAAAAATGCAATGAAGAAAATGAATCAACTAATGGGAAAGAAAACCAGCCATTAACAAAATGGAAGGATCAAATTCACACATAACAATAGTAACATTGAATGTAAATGGACCTGAACGCCCCAATCAAAAGACACAGACTGGCAAACTGGATAAAAAGTCAAAACCTATCGGTGTGCTGTATTCAGGAAACCCATCTCACATGCAAAGAAACACATAGACTCAAAATAAACGGATGGAACAAGATTTACCAAGCAAATGGAGAACTAAAAAAAGCAGGGGTTGCAATCCTAGTCTCTGATAAAATAGACTTCAAACCAACAAAGATCAAAAGAGACAAAGAAGGACACTACATAATAGTAAAAGGATCAATCCAACAAGGAGAGCTAACTATCCTAAATATATATGCCTCCAACACAGGAGCACCCAGATACATAAAGCAAGTTCTTAACGACCTAAAACGAAATTTAGACTCCCACACAATAATAGTGGGAGACTTCAATACTCCACTGTCAATATTAGACAGATCAACGAGACAGAAAATTAACAAGGATATCCAGGACTTGAATGCAGAGCTGGACCAAGCGGATCTAATAGACATATACAGAATGCTCCACCCCAAATCCACAGAATATCTATTTTTCTCAGCACCACACTGCACTTACTCGAAAATTGACAACATCATTGGAAGCAAATCACTCTGCAGCAAATGCAAAAGAACGGAAATCATAACAAATAGTCTATCAGACCACAGCACAATCAGACTAGAACTCAGGATTAAGAAACACACTCAAACCCGCAAAAACCACTTGGAAACTGAACAACTTGCTTCTGAGTGTCAACTGGATAAACAATGAAATGAAGGCAGAAATAAAGATGTTCTTCGAAACCAATCAGAATGAAGACACAACTTACCAGAATCTCTGGGACACCTTTAAAGCAATGTCAAGAGGGAAATTTATAGCAATAAATGCCCACATGAGAAACAAAGAAAGATCAAAAAAATACTGGCAAACAGATTGCAACAACACATCAAGAAGCTTATCCATCATGATGAAGTAGGCTTCACCCCTGAGATGCAAGGCTGGTACAACATACACAAATCCATAAATGTAATCCATCACATAAACTGAACCAAAGACAAAAACCACATGATTATACCAATAGATGCAGAGAAGGCCTTTGACAAAATTCAACAGCTCTTCATGCTAAAAATTCTCAATAAACTAGGTATTGACAGAATATGTCATAAAATGATAAAAGCTATATATGAAAAACCTACAGCCAATATCATACTGAATGGGCAAAAGCTGGAAGAATTCCCTTTGAAATCAGGCACCAGACAAGGATGCCCTCTCTCACTGCTCCTATTCAACATAGTATTGGAAGTTCTAGCTAGAGCAATCAGGCAAGAAAAAGAAATAAAGCTTATTTAATTAGGAAAGGAGGAAGTCAAATTGTCTCTATTGGTAGATGACATGATTGTATATCTACAAGACCCCATTGTCTCAGCCCAAAATCTTCTCAAACTGATAAGCAACTTCAGCAAAGTCTCAGGATACAAAATCAATATGCAGAAATCACAAGCACTCCTATATACCAATAACAGACAAACAGCCAAATTAAGAGTGAACTATCATTCACAATTGCTACAAAGAGGATAAAATACCTAGGAATACAACTAACAAAGGATATAAAGGACCTCTTCAAGGAGAACTACAAACCACTGCTCAATGAAGTAAGAGAGAACACAAACAGATGGAAAAACATTCCATGCTCATGGTTAGGAAGAATTAATATCGTGAAAATGGCCATACAGCTCAAAGTAATCTGTAGATTCAATGCTAGCCCCATCAAGCTACAAATGACCTTCTTCATAGAACTGGAAAAAAAACACTTTAAACTTCATATGGAAACACAAGAGAGCCCACATAGCCAAGACAATCCTAAGCAAAAAGAACAAAGTTGGAGGCATCACACTGCCGGACTTCAAACTATATTACAAGGCTACAGTAATCAAAACAGCATGGTACTGGTACCAAAACAGAGACATAGAACAATGGAACAGAACAGAGGCCCCAGAAGAAACACCACACATCAACAACCATCTGATCTCTGACAAACCAGGCAAAAACAAGCAATGGGGAAAGGACTCCATGTTTAATCAATGGTGTTGGGGAAACTGGCTAGCAATGTTCAGAAAGCAGAAACTGGACCCCTACCTGTCACCTCACACTAAAATTAACTCCAGATGGATTAAATATTTAGACATAAAACCTAACACCATAAAAACACTAAAAGAAAATGGCAAAACCATCCAGGACATAGGCATAGGCAAGGACTTCATGGCTAAAACACCAAAAGCAATGGCAATAAAAGCCAAGATAGACAAGTGGGATCTAATTAAAATTCAGAGCTTCTGTACAGCAAAAGAAACCATCATTAGAGCAAATTGGCAACCAACAGAATGGAAAAAATTTTTGCAATCTATCCATCTGACAAAGGGCTAATAACCAGAATCTACAAAGAACTAAAACAGATTTACAAGAAAAAAGCAACCCCATTCAAAATTGGGCAAAGGATATGAAAAGATGCGTTTCAAAAGATGACATATATGAGGCCAACAAACATATGAAAAAATGCTCATCATCACTGGTCATTACAGAAATGAAAATCAAAACCACATTGAGATATCATCTCATGCCAGTTAAAATGGTGATCATTAAGAAATCTGGAGACAACAGATGCCGAAGAGGATGCAGAGAAATAGGAACACTCTTACACAGTTGGTGGGAGTGTAAATTAGTTCAACCACTGTGGAAGACAGTGTGGAGATTTCTCAAGGATCTAGAAATAGAAATTCCATTTGACCCAGCAATCCCATTACTGGGCATATGCCCACGGAACTATAAATCGTTCTACTATGAAGACACATGCACATGTATGTTCATTGCAGCCCTGTGTACAATAGCAAAGACCTGGAACCAACCCAAATGTCCATCAATGATAGACTGGACAAAGAAAATGTGGTACATATACACCATGGAATACTATGCAGCCATAAAAAATGGTAAGTTCGTGTCCTTTGTAGGGACTCGAATGAATCCAGAAACCATCATTCTCAGCAAAGTGACACAAGAACAGAAAGCCAAACACCGCATGTTCTCACTCATTGGTGGGTGTTGAACAATGAGAACACGTGGACTCAGGAAGAGGAGCATCACACACTGGGGGCAGTTGGTGGGGGTAGGGGAGAGACGGTGGGGGGTGGGGAGGGATAATATGGGGAGAAATGCCAGATATAGTATGCACATAAAGTTAAATAAATGAATTTAAAAAAAAAAAAGAAAAAGAAAAAGTTCTTGATGGATAGTCAAAGTGCTACTCCAGAGAACACATGAACAATAAAGTCAAAGAGCCTTCTTGCTGCTCTGGAGAAAGTTTTAATGATCTAGATAGAACAGTGATCCTCAACCATTTTTGGCACCAGGAACTAGTTTTGTGGAAGATAATTTTTCCACAGACCAGCTTGCAGGGGAATGATCAAGTGCATTACAGTTATTGTGTACTTTATTTCTATTATCACTTTTTTTTTTGAGACAGAGTCTTGCTCTGTTGCCCAAGTTGGAGGGCTGTTGTGGGATCTCGGCTCACTGCAATCTCAGCCTGCAAAGGTCAAGCAATTCTCCTGCCTCAGCCTCCCAAATAGCTGGGACTACAGGCATGCACCACCATTCCTAGTTAATTTTTGTATTTTTAGTAGAGATGGGGTTTCGCCATGTTGGGCAGGCTAGTCTGGAACTCCTGACCTCAACTGATCCCACCTGCCTTGGCCTCCCAACGTGCTGGAATTCCAGGTGTGAGCCACCAGCTCTGCCTATTATTACATTGTAATATATAATGGAATAATTATAAGTTCACCATAAAAACAAAAAAGGAAAAATAAATTCATCATAATGTAGAATCAGTGGGAGTCCTGAGCTTGTTTTCCTGCAATTAGTTCCATCTGGGGGTGATGGGAGACTGATAGGTCATTAGGCATTAGATTCTCATCAAGAGCATACAACCTAGATCCCTCAGGTGCACAGTTCACATTTGATTTCACGCTCCTATGAGAATCTAATGCTGCCATTGATCTGATGGGAGGCAGAACTCAGATGGTAATGCAAGTGATGGGGAGCGACCGTAAATACAGATGAAGTTTCTCTTGCTTGCCCACCACTTACCTCCTGCTGTGTGGACTGGTCTGTGGCCTGGGGGTTGGGGATCCCTGAGACAGAAGATCAAATCAGCCACAATATTCCATAAAGCCAAACCTAATGCAGAGCAAGGTCCCCAGCATTGAGGCAAGACCCTTTTATAGCAAAAAGATAACCACTCACTGAAAGCTCAGATGTCATTAGCATTTTTTTTTAAGCAACAAAGTGTTGGGTTTTTTTTTTTTTTTTTTTTTTCTTTGAGATGGAGTCTCACACTCTGTCACCAGGCTGGAGTGCAGTGGCATGATCTCGGCTCACTGCAACCTACGCCTCACAGGTTCAAGCGATTCTCCTGCCCTAGTCTCAAAAGTAACTGGGATTATAGGCGCATGCCACTACACCCAACTAATTTTTATATTTTTAGTAGAGCCAGGGCTTCACGTTGGCCAGGATGGCCTCAATCTCTTGACCTTGTGATCTGCCCTCCTCGGCCTCCCAAAGTGTGCAGTGAGCCACCACGCCTGGCCCAAAGTGTTTTTTAAGGTATGTGCACTGTTTTGTTGAACACAATGCTACTACACTCTGAATAGACTACAATATAGTAGAAACATAAGTTTTTTTTTTAAGGTATTTACTTTTATTCAATTGGTCTCAGGTCAGTGTACAAGTACGCCGTTACCCACTCCCAGGGAAAGCAAAAGCCTTCACACATCTCAAGCTGGGGGACAAAAGGGAGGGGCCATGAAGGCCGATCATTCAAAATAAAACAGTATAAAAAACCAGTAAGGCAAAGTTTTAAAATTTTGCATTACATAATTTACACGAAGCAATGCTATCACCTCCCCTGTGTGGACTCGGGAGAGGACTGGGCCATTTTCCTTAGAGAGAAGTGGGGTGGCTTTAGGAGAGCAAGGGACTTCCTGTAACAATGCACCTCAAAATATTTGGAATAAGTATTAAAAAAAAGAACAACATACAAGCAAAGTCCTCGGCCACATTGTAGGTAGAGCTTTGGGGGATGCGCACTCCAACTGACTGCTGTCACCTTCACTGTTCCAGTTTTTAAATCCTGAGTCAAGCCAAAAACCAAAACCAAAACCAAACCAAAACAAAACAAAACAAATAAAGCCATGCCAATCTCATCTTGATTTCTGTGCAAATTAGGTTTTGTCAAGAAGGGGTGTAATGCAACTAAGTCACAGTTGGCCTAGAAGCATTTGTGGTGGATGATGGAGGGTCTGGACTCCTGGTACTCCTGCTTGCTGATCCACATCTGCTGGATGGTGGACAGCGAGGCCAGGATGGAGCTGCCAATCTACATGGAGTACTTGTGTTTGGCAGGAGCAATGATCTTGATCTTCATCATGCTGGGCGCCAGGGCAGTGATCTCTTTCTGCATCCTGTCGGCAATGCCAGGGTACATGGTGGTGCCTCCAAACAGCACTGTGTGGGCGTACAGGTCTTTGCGGATGTTCACATTACACTTCATGATGGAGTTGGAGATAGTTTCATGGATGCCAGAGGATTTCATGCCCAGGAAGGAAGGCTGGAAGAGTGCCTCAGGGCAGCAGAACTGCTTGTTGCTGATGGTGATGACCTGGCCATCGGGCAGGTCCTGGCTCTTATCCAGGGTGGAGCTGGAGGCCTCCATGGCCATCTCCTACTTGAAGTCCAGGGGAATGCAGCACAGCTTCTCCTTGATGTCATGCATGATTTCCATTTTGGCCGTGGTGGTGATGTTGTAGTCGCACTCAGTGAGGATCTTCATGAGGTACTCAGTCAGGTCCTGGCGAGCCAGGTTCAGATGCAGTATGGTGTGAGGGAGGGCATACCCCTCATAGATGGGCACAGTGTGGGTGACCCCGTCACCAGAGTCCATCAGGATGCCAGTGTTACGGCGCTAGAGGTGTGCAGGGACAGCACAGCCTGGATGGCCACGTACACAGCTGAGGTGTTGAAGGTCGCAAACATGATCTGGGTCATCTTCCTGTGGTTGGCCTTGGAGTTTGGGGGGCCTCGGTCAGTGGCGCAAGGTGATCCTCAGGAGCCACATGCAGCTTGTTGTAGAAAGTGTAGTGCCAGATCTTTTCCATGTCGTCCCAGTTGGTGACGAGCTGTGCTCTATGAGGTACTTCAGGGTCAGGATGCCTCTCTTGCTCTGGGCCTTGTAGCCCAGCTAGGAGTCCTTCTGACCCATGCCCACCATCATGTCCTGGTGCCTGGGGTGCCCCACAGTAGAGGAAAAGATGGCCTGGGGGGCATCATCACCTGCAAAGCTGGCCTTGCACATGATGGAACCGTTGTTGACAATGAGTGCGGCAATACCATCATCTATGGTGAGCTGGCTGCAGGGGTGCATAGGGAGCTGAGTAGCAAGGGCAAGGGCAAGAGCAATGCTCTGTGCTCATGGGGTGGACATGGTCTCGGCAGAAACATAAGTTTTATATGCAATGGGAAACCAAAATATTTGTCTGACTTTGCTTCTTTGTGGTATTTGCATTATTTTGGTCTGGAATCAAACCTGCAATCTCTCTGAGGTATGCCTATAAATAAAACTTCAATTCTCAGTATTTATAATGTTTTAAATCATAGTTTACCAATATTAGCTTTACTATGTTTTTTCATTTTTCTATACATTTATAACCAATAGAAATAGTTTTAAATGTTTTGACACACATTTATGTATTATAAATTTTCTCACTGATTAAGATGATATGGAGTCAGCTTGCTTGGTAATTTTTAGTCTCATATAGTGTGCAAAGCAAAAACTACAAGTATTTGGGAAACACGAGATGAGTTTTTCCCTCTACTAAGTACTCATCAGATATTTCTACAGCACTGGGTCCAGTTTAAGCTTTACAACCAAAGACTGACATGGATGCAGGAGAAGGTAAGAGACTAAAAAAACTGGCCATAGAAAAACTGTTTAAGGAAATTGACAGATGTTAGCCACTGAAAAGACAGTTGAAGTGGTAATTTAACTATGGCTGATCTTCAATGACTTTAGCATAAGGGATACTAACTAGTCATTACATATCCCTACAAAAGAATGAACATAAGCAAAAATGAATTTCAACTGAAATGTTGGATTTTGGTTAAGAATAAACTTATAGTGAAAGAGATACTATATATCAGAACAGATTTCAAAGAGAGCTCTGTAATTTTCTTTCTGGAAGTCTTAAAATTTTAAATTAGTTCTTATCTAGTTGGAATGGTTTAAGTTTTGAAAACAAGCAAGGGAAGATGGACTGTATGACCTGTAAAGGGCTCTGCCAGAGCTAAGATGCTGTATTTTTTACCATTGTAGAACTTTATTTTACCCCAACCTGCCAATTATTTTTGAGAACTACTTAAATTGTTCTTTGCTTTGTACATTCAGCTCCCTTTCTCCCAGACCCTCTCCAGTTAAAGGGCATTAGATTATGCAGTGGAACTCTGATGGGAAAGGAAAGCTGCAGAACAATCCTTTTTTTATAGTGAGGCTCTGTGATGGCGACTGCAGTGACTTTGATGTATGCAGCTCCCACAGCATCAGTGCATCCATACAAATGAGCCCTGAGTGCCTGGGATAGGTCTTTGCTGCTGCTGCTGCATTCTGTGCACTCAGACAGCACTGCTCCAGAGCACCTGCTTGGTTTGAAATACGGATATTCATTATAAAAACCCATAAATTCATTGCCAAATTGGGCTGATTAACACCCTCCCAGGACAAGGCATTTATAGGGAGGACAAATATGGACCTTTTGATCTGTCTTCACTGCTGATAATTCTTGAACATTAAACCAGACAATTCTTGTCACAAAAAATTCACAGTCTCTTCTCCATTAAAAATCATCAGGCCTACCAGGTGAAGGATTATCTGATATTTTCAAACAGGGCACTGATGTGTTCTCCATTCTCCTGTTTATTCACCTCCATTTATGTATTAGCTCTGCTAAACTTGAATCTTGGTCCAACATTCTTTGGAGATGGCTCAATAATAAAAGTTCTAAAGCAATGCAGTGTTGTAGCCCTGCATTCTTTTTCTAATTACTAGATTTCCAGAAGAAAACCATGTGTCAGAAAAAATCCAAACCCTGAATGCTGATAGCTCCCACAAGATAAAGTATGAGAGAAACAGAAACTCTTTAAACTATAAGTTATTTGAAGATAAGGTGTTTTCTATTAAAAAAACACTAGGAATATTTTGGCTTTAAAAATAATAAAGTTGGCTTTAGAAATAGAGATTATAAATATTCTCCACTAATGAGTCTCAAGGCAGAAATAAAATTTGTTCTTTAATCAAATTTCCAGTGGAGATTGTTCTGAGTTTTTGTTTTGTTTTCATCTGACTTGGAGTTTTAGATTTGAGAATTGTCTCTACAGCAAAAATAACCAATATTGGTTGGGCATTCCTAAATATGTCCAATTATTTACTTGATGAGAAGGTTGTAAATTCTTTTTGTGCAGGGGACTGGAATTTTATTTTTTACTTTTAGGTTTTGAGATGGAGTCTCACTCTGTTGCCCAGGCTGGAGTGCAGTGGCATGGTGTCAGCTCACTGCAACCTCTGCCTCTTGGGTTCAAGCGATTCTCCTGCCTCAATCTCCCAATTAGCTGGGACTGCAGGTGCATGCTACCATGCCCAGCTGATTTTTGTATTTTTAGTAGAGATAGAATTTCACCATGTTGGCCAAGTTAGTCTCAAACTCCTGACCTCAGTTGATCCACCCACCTCACCTTACCAAGCTTCTGGGATTAAACGTGTGAGCCACTGTGCCCAGCTGGACTGTAATAATAATTACCCAAATCAATAAATCAGTGTCCAATTCTTGTTTTAAGAGATGAGGTCTTTATCTGTTGTCCAGCCTAGAGTACAATGGCATAATAGCTCACTGTAACCTCAAACTCAGGCTCAAGTGATCCTCCCGTCTCAGCCTCCCAAAGCCTGGGATGACAGGCATAAGCCCATGGGCCTTTGCTACAAACTCACACCTTAGCATTGCTTTTTCTGCATTCCACAAGTTTTGGTATTTTGTATTCTATTTTTGTCTCAAGATATTTTTACATTTCCCTTTTAATTTATTTGTTGTTTAGAATCATGTTGCTTAATTTCCATTATTTAAAAAATTTCTAAAATTCCTCCAGTTCTTAACTTCTAGTTTCATACTTTGGTGAGCAGAAAATATATTTGATATGATTTCAATCTTCTTAAATTTATTTAGACTTGTTTTATGCCCTAACATAATTTATTCTGGAGAATGTTCCATGTGTGCTAGAGCACAATGTATATTCTGTTGCTACTGGATGCAATGTTCTGTGTATGCCTGTTAGGTCCTTTTGATGTTAAGTGTAGTTTAAACCCAAGGCTTTCTTACTGATTTTTTTTTTGGTCTGGATGAAAGGTCCATTGCTTAAAGTTGGTTATCAAAGTCTCCTACTATTATTGTGTTACAATCCATGTCTCCCTTCAGGTCCTTTAATATTTGTTTAATATACTTATGTGCTCCAGTGTTGGTGCATATATATGTATAACTTTTATAGTCTCTTGGTGAATTGATCTCCTTTTCTTCATACAATGACCTTGTCTCACTGTACAGCTTTGACTTAAAGTCTATTTTATCTGATATAAGAAAAGTTACCCCTGCTTTCTTTTGATTTCTATTTGCATATAATATATTTTTCCATCCTTTTACTTTCAATCTATGTGTGTCCTTAATGGTGAAATATCTTGTAGGCAACATATAGTTGGGTCTTATTTTTGTAATTCATTCAACCATTCTATGCCTTCTTATTAGAGAATTTACTACATTTACAGTCAAAGTAATTATTGATAGGCAAGGATGTACTACTGCCATTTTATTAGTTATTTTCTGGTCATTTTATGGATCCTTCCTTCTTTTGCTATCTTCCATTGTAATTTATTTTCTCTAGTATTAGACTTTGATTCCTTACTTTTTACTTTTATGTGAATCTACTCTAGGCTTTTGTTTTGTGGTTACCATGAGGCTTACACAGAACATCTTATAGTCATTTGAAGCCATTTTAAACCAGTAACAATTTTGAGTGCATAAAATAACTCAGTGCTTTTACTCTAACCACCCCCCATATTTTATTTTATTTTATTTTTTTTGAGATAGAATCTCACTCTTATTGCCCAGGCTGGAGTGCAGTGGCATGATCTCAGCTCACCGCAGTCTTTGCCTCCCAAGTTCAAGTGATTCTCCTGCCACAGCCTCCTGAGTAGCTGGGATTACAGGCACATGCCACCACACCCGGCTAATTTTTGTATTTTCAGTAGATACAGGGTTTAACCACATTGGCCACTCGAACTCCTGACCTCAAGTGATCTGCCTGCTTTGGCCTCCCAAAGTGCTGGGATTACAGACATGAGCCACTGCACCCAGCCATATTTTACAATTTTAATATCAAATTTTACACCTTTTTATATTGCATATTCCTTAAACAATTATAACTATTATTATTATTATTATTCCAAGAAAAGGTCTCCTTCTGTTGCCCAGGCTGGAGTGCAGAGGTGCAATACTGGCTCCCTGCAACCTCTGCCTCTCAGGTTCAAGTGATTCTCCTACCTCAGCCTCCTGAGTCACTGGAACTACAGGCATATGCCACCACACTCAACTAATTTTTGTATTTTTTTGGTAGTGACAGGGTTTCACCATGTTGGTCAGACTGGTCTCGAATTCCTGACCTCAAGTGATCCACCCACCTTAGTTCTGGGACTACAGGCATATGCCACCCCACACAGCTAATTTTTATATTTTTTTGGAAGAGACAGGGTTTTACCATGTTGGCCAGGCTGATCTTAACTCCTGATCTCAAGTGATCCACCCACCTCCCAGAGCGCTGGGATTATAGGTGTGAGCCACTGCACCCAGCACTATTAGTATTTTTAATAGTGTTGCCTAACCTTCAAGCTAAAGATATAAGTAACTTACACACCACCATTACAATACTCAAGTATTCTGAATTCTGTGTGCTTACTTTTACCAGTGAGTTTTATACTTTTATGTTTTAATGTTACTAGTTAGCATCCTCTTCTTTTAGCTTAAAGAACTCTGTTCAGCCTTTTTCATATGACAAGTTTGGTGGTGATAAACTTAGCTTTTTCTTATCTGAAAAAGCCTTTATCTCTCCTTCATTTCTGAAGGACAGCTTCCAGGTATTCTTGTTTTCTCCTTCAGCACTTGGAATATAGTTATCCCTCAGCATCTGTGGGGGACTGTTTCCAAGACCCTTTGGGAATACCAAAATCCACAGATGCCCAAGTCCCTTATATAAAACAGTATAGTATTTGCATATAACAACATATGCATATCCTCCCACACACTTTAAATAATATCTAGATTACTTGTAGTACCTAATACAAAGTAAACACTATGTAAATAGCTGTTATACTGTATTGTTTAGGGAATAATGAACAGAAAAAACTCTGTACATGTTTAGTACAGATGCAACCATTATAGGCTTAATTACATTTTTGATTCATGGTTGGTTAAATCCATGGATGAAGAACCTGCAGCTACCAAGGGTTGAAGCCTGATTTCAAAGAGGCTGGCCTGGTGCTGGGGTGTGCCTGGACCCTGAGTTTGTGGGGGCAGCGTAGGTCCTGGGTCCACAGGAGGTGGTCTGGAGTATAGGTCTCCAGGATTGGACCCGGAGACATAGTTAATGGAGACTCTCTTGGCACTGGTGTCTATAGGGGTAGGCCTGGACCCTGGGTCTGCTGGAGCAGGCTTGGATCCTGGGTCCACTGGAGGTTAGGTCTATGGGGACTGGCCTAGAGTCTTGGGCCAGCCTGGTGTTAGGGCAGGAATGAAGCTTGGATCTGTAGGGGCTAGTCTGGAACCTGAGACCATGGGTACTGGCACGGTACCTGGAGCCCTGGGGGCTGGCCTGAATACTGGGTCCATGGGGATGTGCCTAGAGATTGAGTGTGCAGGTGCTGGTCTGGAGGCTAGGTTTTTCAGGGCTGACCTAGGTCCTGGAGCCATGAGAGGCAGCCTAGAACCTGTGTCCACAAGGGTGTTCCTAGAGCCTGGATCCATGGTTTCCAGTCCAGTGCTGGGGTCTACTGGGATGAGACTGGACCCTGGGTCTGCAAGAACAGGGCTGAACCATAGAGCTGCTAGAGTGTGGGGCTGCAGAGAGTCACCTACGGGGTGGGGTCATGAGGATCAGCCTGGCCTTGAGCCCATGTCTGAAGGTAATGGCCTGGTGCCTGAGGCCTAGGGTGCTGCCTTGGCACTAGGGAAGCCTTAAAGCCTGGGGTTGTGTGGGCTGACCTGGCTCTGGGCTGTTCTAGAATCTGGGGTGGGCCTGGAGACTAGGCCTGCAGGGGCTGGCCTGGAGGCAGGGTCCACTGAGTGGGCCTGGAGCCTAGGGCTGCAGGATCTAACTTGGCACTGTGGTGGACTTGGAAGCCTTGTCAGTAGGTACATGCCTAGAGTCAGGGGCCATGGGAGCCTACCCAGTGATGGGTTTTACTGGGACAGGCCCAGTGTTGAGGAATGACACAATGTCCGGTACTCCTTCCATTACACAGAGGGTATCTCTCGCCAGGCTGTGCTGTCTGAGGTTTGGGAAAGTGTGATGAGGATAACGTAAAACTGTGTTTCCTGCCCTCTTCAATGAATCTTTTCTTATGACACCTGTTGCTTTAATTGCTTACCTGATTTTCCTAGTTCTCCTGATGGTATTTCCATGTATGGATAGTTGTTTACACTGATATTTCTGTGAGGTGATGAGTGCTATAAAGTTCGATTTTACTGGCCAGGTGCAGTTGCTCACACCTGTAATCCTAGCACTTTAGGAGGCTGAAGTAGGTGGATCACCTGAGGACGGAAGTTTGAGGCCAGCCTGACCAACATGGAGAAACCCCATCTCTGCTAAAAATATATATATATAAACTAGCTGGGTGTGGTGGTGCATGCCTCCAATCCCAGCTACTTGGGAGGCTGAGGCAGGAGAATTGCTTGAACCCAAGAGGCAGAGGTTGCGGTGAGCTGAGATCAAACCATTGCATTTCAGCCATCGCACTTTTGCTTTCCAACAAGAGCAAAACTCCATCTCAAAAAAAAAAAAAAAAAAGTTCGATTTCACCATCCAGCTGATGTTCAGATCCTCAGTTTCTCTCCTATAGATTCTGACTGAATTGGTCTGAGTAGGGATTGCTTTTTTTGTAAGCTCCTTAGGCGTTTTTTTTTTTTTTTTTTTTTTTTAATTGTACACCAGTTTGAGAACCATTGTTCTGGAAGTTGCTGCTCAGTGTGTCCTGAATGTTGAAAATGTAGAATTTTAGCCTCTTCCCTGGATCTACTGAAAGCAGAAGCCATCTTTTAACAAGATCCCCAGATGATTCATTTAAACATTAAAGTTTGACAAATACTGCTCATTCAGGGAGCTTTTTAAAAAAAATGATACAAGCCAGGCATGGTGGCTCACGCCTGTAATCCCAGCACTTTGGGAGGCCGAGATAGGCAGATCACCTGAGGTCGGGTGTTTGAGATCAACCTGGCCAACATGGAGAAACCCTGTCCCTACTAAAAATACAAAATTAGCCAGGCATGGTGGCACATGCTTATAATCCCAGCTACTCCAGAGGCTGAGGCAGGAGAATCGCTTGAACCCGGGAGGTGGAGGTTGCAGTGAGCTGAGATCACACCATGGCATTCCAGCCTGGGCAAAAAAAAGCTAAACTCCATCTCAAAAAAAAGAAAAAAGAAAAAAAGATACATGCATTGATATATCTTTAAGGCTTTCCAATGATTAAAATATGAATACCATTGAATGAGAAGGTGCAAACACAAAAATCTGCACAGGTATACTCTAGTCATGATGAGTAGAAGGAACCAAGAGAAAGTTTGAACTCCCACTTTCAAGAAGAGAGACACACAGGACCTACCTTAACAGAAGAATGCTGCTAACACCAGAAAGAAAATGACTCTTAAGGATGATAAAGGCCTGAAGGGTAACTCCCAAATTTCATCTCACAATAATCTAACTGCTATGCTTGTTTACAGCATCTTTGCTCTACCTCTCTAAAACCGGCTTTCATTGTTGTCCTGTTGTCTGCCCACTCCTCTCCCCAATCCACACCCAAATATTCTACTCTTGAGATTCCTCAAGAAAACATATTTTTGGCTCTAGGGGAGAAAAGTGGATCAAACTCAAAAGAAATTCACCATTCTGCAGTAAGGCTGCAAAGGATATATATTCTTACCAACACATTGTCTTGTGGTTCATTTCATTCCCTTCAGGGTACCTGCTGGCAGTGACGCAGGATACCAGAATTGCTGATAGAACCTAGTCTGTCTCTGTAGGAGAAACTGTCTCCTGGCCTGTGGTCTCCTTGCCCCTGAGCTTTCTTGATGTAGTTCTGCCTCCAAGGTGAGTGGCTTTTTCCCCTGGGCCTGATTTCTACTGTTAAGTTTTTATATTATTGAAATCTACCGGTGAGAGTTGCAGCCTTATAATCTAGACAATGCTTATAAATGATGAAAAGGAAACATGTCTATCTATCTCTACTCTTTATAGAAAAACCAGAATGATCATACACGCCACAAGAAACAATTGTTTCACTCCATGTGACTTCTGTTGTCTCCAAACAAACAGAACAAAACCATAATGACAACAAAAAGATATGTTTCTCAAAGTTCATGACATTGAGATTTCCCATCTACTTCCAGTAGACTTTTTAAAGGCCTCTTTTTCCTGTCTTAAAAAAAAATTATATATATATTTAAGGTATACAACATGATGTTATACTATATAAAGTAAAATGGTCTTTTGTGTGAGGTATTTCCTACATCACACTAAAGAGACTTGGTTAGATAATATAATTGATGAAGCTACATTTCTTCAACGGGTTCAGCGTGGAACTAAGGTATTGTCATCATGGATATAAGGATCACAGTTGCTTATAGGTGGTATATGATCCTGAGCTATGATTCCTTCTCCACAAAATGGGGATAAGACTATCTTCTTTTTAGTTCTGCTATCCAGATTAAATAATAGATATATAACTTTGAAAATTGCACAGTGGCCTACAAGATTTAGATATGCTTATTATTAGTTGGTAGGAGTGAGTGATGTATCCTGGAAGATGAGTAAAGAAATCATTTCCAGGGTACAGCAAAAGTATTAAAGGACAGATGGAGTTCTCTGACGTCAAATCTCTACACAAGTGAGCATGGGTTCTAGTTCTAGTTTCCTATTAAAGTTAAGAGGCAGCATTATACATTGCCTTTGACATTAGTTTCAAACAGGAAGATTGATTAGAGGCAATGCATATATGATCCAACACTCCATGGAGAGGGGGTCTGTCAATTCTATCATGACCATTAGGCTCTCTACCTCATTCAGATTAAGTACATACAAATCCCTAAACTCCACTGCCATTCAAACTGGCAGACACTAAGGCTTGAGCACTAAAGGGAAAACAGGGGTGCTTTTTTCCAGATCTAATAATGGCTGGCCAGAGGATTCTATCCCTGGCAGCACAGCTGCTTCTACCAAGAAATTGATGAGTGCAGCTTGTGAGATGATGGCTGATTTCACATCAGGAAGTTCAGTGTGATCTGAATGAAAGAATTTGCATTCCAAGGCTCTGCCCTGCTGTGAGATAGGCAGGCCTATTTCTATCCAGCTGCACACCAACATGCAAAATGACGTCACTTTCTAGAACACAGGCAATCTCTGGGAGCAACCTGCTGGCAAGCAAGCACCAAAACTTCTGGAAAAAGAAAATAAGCTGTAGTCATCAAATGCTAGGGATAGGAATCAAACAGACAATAATTTCATTCCTTAGCTGTTAACACTGTTTCTTCTCTCTTCAGAAGTTGCTTTCAGTTTTACTTTTATTTATTTATTTTTGGATGGAGTCTCCATCTATTGCCCAGGCTGGAGTGTGGTGGCGTGATCTTGGCACAATGCAACCTCCGCCTCTCAGGTTCAAGCGATTCTCCTGCCTCAACTCCCTGAGTAGCTGGGATTACAGGCATGTGGTACTACTATACCTGGCTAATTTTTGTAATTTTAATAGAGACAGGGTTTCGTCATGTTGGCCAGGCTGGTCTCGAACTCCTGACATCAGGTGATCTGCCCCCTCGGGCTTCCAAAGTGCTGGTATTACCAGCATGGGCTACTATGCCCAGCGTCCTCACAAGTTACTTTCAAATAAATCCCAAGTTCTTTATCTTGGACAACTAACAGCAAAGCCATAAATATTATTGAGGCAAATATAACAAATATAATGAAATATCTAATGTTAGAATATTGGATTGTTCCAAAGCCTAGTGCTTGGTTCTGTTCCACCTAAGCTCATGCCCTTGGTGATCTTACCAACTCTCATAGCATTGAATGCCATTTATATGTAGACTCCAAATTTGATAACTTAAGCCCTAATCTTTGCCTCAAACTTCACAATGTGTGTACAACGGCCTATTTAACATTTCTATTTAGATGTCTAATAGATATCTTGAACTTCACATGTCCAAGATCAAACTCCATTTTGCAATTTCTTGTTTTGAAATAAATTCAGATTTATAAAAAGTTGCAAGAATGGTACAAAACACTCATATTCTCTTTAACCAGATTCCCTGATAATTAACATTTTCCAATATTTAATCATTGTTTTTATCCATATATTATGTATAAATATATCATTATTTTCTGAGCCACTTGAAATTGTAGACATGATGACCCTTTATTTCCTAAGAAAAAGAACATTCTCTAACAAAACCATAGTGTAATTACCCAATTTGAGAAGTTGACACTGATACAGTACTGTTACCTGACTCACAGGTCTTACTCATATTTAAGTCAATTGCTGCAATATGTTACTGCAAAGCAACATATTGATTCAGGGTCCATCCAATCCAGAATCACAAATTGTATTTAGTTGTCATGTCATATCATATTAGTCTTCTTTAATTTTCAGCAGTTCCATAGTCTGTCTTTGTCTTTCATGACCTCTCATGACTTCAATATATTTTGTACAAGTTTCCTTAATTTTTGTTTTTTAAATTTTTAAAAAATTGTGGTAAAATACACATAACATACCATCTTAACAATTTTTTTTTTTTTTGAGACGGAGTCTAGCTGTCACCCAGGCTGTAGTGCAGTGGCACCATCTCGACTCACTGCAGCCTCTGCCTCCTAGGTTCCAGTGATTCTCCTGCCTCAGCCTCCCAGGTAGCTGGGATTACAGGAACACGCCACCACACCCGGCTAATTTTTGTATTTTTAGTAGAGAGGTGGTTTCACCACGTAGCCCATGTTGGTCTTGAACTCCTGACCTCAGATGATCTGCCTGTCTTGGCCTCCCAAAGTCCTGGGATTACAGGTGTGAGCTACCGTGCCCAGCCTTTGTTTTTTTTAAGTGTGCAGTTCAGTAGTGTCAAATACATTCACATTGTTGTGCAACCAATCTCCAGAACTCTTCATCTAGCAAAATGAAAACTCTATACCCATTTAAAAACTTTTTTCCTAGTACACAATTCATTATTATTAACTATAGTCACCATGCTATGTATTAGGTCTCCACAATTTACTTATGACTGCAAGTTTGTTCCATCTGACCAACATCCTTCCATCTCCCTACCCCCACACCTGACTCCTGATAAGTAATCTTCTACTCTGTTTTTATGAGTTTGACTTTCTTAGATTCCACATATGTGAGGTCATGCAATATTTGTCTTTGACTTATTTCACTCGGAATGATGCCCTCCAGTTTCATTCATGTTGTCACAAATGGCAAGACTTACTCCTTTTTACAGGCTGGGTATTTCATTGTATACACATGTGTGTGTATCTCTATATGTGGATACACATATATGTATACAATGGAGTATGTGTATGACATACGCAGATATATGTGTGATATACAGATATACATACATGATATGCCATTTATATGTGTATATATATTTCATTAAATATATATATGTTCCAATGCAATATATCTTTTTTCTTTTTTTTTTTTGAGATGGAGTTTCACTCTTATTACCCAGGCTGGAGTGCAATGGCGCTATCTCGGCTCACCGCAAACTCCGTCTCCTGGGTTCAAGCAATTCTCCTGCCTCAGCCTCCTGAGTAGCTTGGACTACAGGCATGTGCCACCATGCCCAGCTAATTTTTGTATTTTTAGTAGAGACAGGATTTCACCATGTTGACCAGGATGGTCTTGATCTCTAGACCTTGTGATCCATTCGTCTCGGACTCCCAAAGCAATGCAATATATCTTATATTCCAATAATATTCCATTGTATACATATACAAACATACATATTTTATTTATTTATATTTATATATATATATATATGCGCCATAATTTTCTTTTTTTTTTTTTTTTTGAGACAGTATTTCACTCTGCCACCCTGACTGGAGTGGACACTACAGCCCCAAACTCTTTCTCCTCAAGCCATTCCCCTGCCTCAGTTTCCCTAGTAGTTAGGACTATAGGCATGCACATGCCCAGCTATTTTTTATTTTTTATAGAGACAGGGTCTTGCTATATTGCCCAGGGTTGTCTTGAATTCCTGAGCTCAAATGATCCTGCTCAGTTTCTCAAAATGCTGAGATTACAGGTGTGAGCCACTGCACCTCACCCTACCACAATTTCTTTATCCATTCTTCTGTGAATGAATGCTTAGATTGTTTCTTTTTCTCAGCTATTGTGAATAATGCTGCAACGAACATGGGAGCACAGAAATCTCTTCAACTCATTTCCTTTGGATATATGCCCAGAAGCAGGACTGCTGGATCACATGGTTACTTTTTTTTTTAAAGACAGAGTATTGCTGTATCCCCCAGGCTGGACTGCTGTGGCACAATCTTGGTTCACTGCAACCTCCACCTCCAGGATCAAGCGATTCTTGTGCCTCAGCCTCCTGATTAGCTAGGATTTCATCAGGCATGTGTCACCATGCCCAGCGAATTTTTGTATTTTTAGTAAATAGAGGATTTCACCATGTTGGCCAGGCTGGTCTTGAACTCCCAACCTCAGGTGGTCCACCAGCCTCAGCCTTCTGCCTTCCAAGGGGCTAGGATTACAGGCATGAACCACTGCACCCTGAGGTAGTTGTATTTAAAAATTTTTGAGGAACCTCCATACTGATTTTCAAAATGGTTATACTTTTTTATTTTTTGGAGACAGGGTCTTGCTCTGTTGCCCATGCTGGAGTGAAGTGGTATGAACGTAGCTCTCAGTACAGCCTCAACCTCCTGGGCTCATCCACCTCAGCCACCCCAGTAGCTGGAATCACAGGTGCGAGCCACCATGCCCACCCTCAAAATGGCTATACTAATTCATATTCCCATTAATAGTGTACAAGGTTCACTTTTCTTACCAATAACAAACATTCTCACCAATACTTACCTTTTGTCTTTCTTCTAATAGCCATTCTAACGTGTCTGAAGTGCTATCTCATTGTGGTTTTTATTTGTATTTCCCCAATGATCAGTGATGTTGAACACCTTTTCATATACTTGTTGGCCTTTTTTATGTCTTCCTTGGAAAAATGTCTATTCAGCTCCTATGCCCATTTTAAAATCAGGTTGTTTGTTTTTCTGTTATTGAGTTGTATGAGCCTCATATTTTGGATTTAATCCCTTATCAGATAGATACATGGACTATAAATATTTTCTCCCATTCTGAGGGACACTTTTTCATTTTGTTGACAGTTCCCTCTGCTGTGCAAAAGCTTTTTAATTTGATGTAGCCCTACTTATTTATTTTTGCTTTTGATGCCTGTGTTTTCAGTGTCCTATAAAAAAAAATCATTGCCAAGACTAATGTCATCGAGCCTTTCCCCTATGTTTTCTTCTAGGATTTTTATGGTTTCAGGTCTTATGTTTAAATCTTTAATCCATTTTGAGTTTTTTTTTTTTTTTTTTTTTTGGTGTGTGTGTGTGTGTGTGTGTGTGTGTGTAAGGCATAAGATAAAGATCCAATTTTATTGTTTTTGTTTTTGTGTTTAAGACAAGGTCTCACTTTGTCATCCAGGCTGGAGTGCAGTGGCATGAACAAAGCTCACTGCAGCCTCCGCCTCCTGGGCTCAAGTGATCCTCCTGCCTCAGCCCCTCAAGAGCTGGGACTACAGGCCCACACCACCACGCCCTGGTAATTTTTGTGTAAAGATGGGGTTTCAAAATGTTGTCCAGGCTGGTCTTGAACCCCTGAGCTCAAGCAATCCTCCTACCTCAGCCTCCTGAGTAGCTGGCTAATTAGTGCCTGGATAATTGTTATAATTTTAGTAGAGAAGGGGTTTCACCATGTTGGCCAGGCTGTTCTCAAACTCATGGCCTCAAGTGATCCACCTGCCTCAGCCTCCCAAAGTGCTGGTATTACAAGTTTGAGCCACTGTGCCTGGCCAGGTACTGCACCCAGCTCATTCCTTATTTTGATGCTAAAAGATTCCTAGGTTTGGCCAAAGGGAGCCCCTTCAGTTTGTCTCCTGTCCTTTTTACATGTCATCATCACTTGAGCACTTTCAAAGTTTCTGGCACAGTAAGATGTCCCTGGCGCATCTCACCCTTTATCTACCCTGCCCCAGAATCAGCCAGTTCTCAAAAGCACCTGATTTTTTTAGTGGAGAGTGGCATTTAAAAACCTACATCTGGGTGTTTTGTGTTCATTGTTACTGGAGGGTTATTCCTTGCAGGCGTTCTCAGTAATGGAGTTAAGCAAGTATTTTTGAGTGTATATTTATATCAATTTCTGTTATCTCAATATTAAAAACCATGAGTTTACACTAATATCTCTAATTCTAATCCAGTATCAAAGGCTTCATTTTAGTCTCCCTGCTTTCCATACTTGTAACTCCTTTTTCTTTTCTTTTTTTTGGAGACGTTGTTTTGCTCTTGTCACCCAGGCTGGAGTGCAATGGCACAATCTCGGCTCACTGCAACCACTCTCTCCCAGATTCAAGAGATTCTCCTGCCTCAACCTCCTGAGTAGCTGGGATTACAGGTGCCCACCACCATGCCCAGCTAATTTTTGTATTTTCAGTAGAGACAGGGTTTCACCATGTTGGTCAGGCTGGTCTTGAACTCCTGACCTCAGGTGATCCACTAACTTTGTCCTCCCAAAGAGCTGGGATTACAGGCATGAGCCAGTATGCCCAACCTGTAACTCCCTTTTCTAACAATGAGAGATCTAGCTCCTGGTATTCTCACTTTACTTACGTGCTCAGTCCCAGGATACATGAAAAGTAGTTTCAGAATTTCCAAGTCATACCACAGCAGAAGAATGAACTCTTAATCTTTTGTTCCAAATGGGTCCAACCACAGCCTTTCCCATTTCAGTTGATGGCAACTCCATCCTTATATTTGCTCAGATCGAAAACCCTGAAATCATCCTGGAGTCTTTACTCTCTCTTTCATACTACACATCTATTTAATCAGTCAGAAAATCGTATCATTTCTATCTTCAAAATGTATTTGAATCTAACCACATCCCACCACCTCCATCACTATCAATCACCCTGGTCCAAGCCACCACCATTGTCTTTGGCCCAGATTGCTCTCAGCTAGTCTCCCTGCCTCTACCCTTGTCCCTTATTCAGTCCATTATCAACACAGCAGTCAGGGTAGTGCCTTTAAAAATTTAAGTCACAGGCCGGGCACGGTGGCTCATGCCTGTAATCCCTTTGGGAGGCCAAGGCAGGCAGATCACAAGGTCAGGAGTTCAAAACCAGACTGGTCAACATGGTGAAATCCCGTCTCAACTAAAAAATACAAAAATTAGCTGGTCATAGTGGCTTGTGCCTATAATCCCAGCTACTTGGGAGGCTGAGGTAGGAGAATCTCTTGAACCGGGACCAGGGAGGTGGAGGTTGCAGTGAGCCAAGATCATGCCACTGCACTCCTGCCTGGGCTACAGAGGGAGACTCCATCTCAAAAAAAAAAAAAAAAAAGTAAGCCACTTTCAGTCGCTCCTCTTAACATTCCAATGATCACACAACGCCCAGATGTAGATTGCTAAAACCCTGCAATGGCTCCCTATTTCACTTAACAGTAAAAGCCAGAGTCCTGAAGATGTCCCTATAACTTTCTGATCTCATTTCATATTACTGTCTCTGTCATCCTACTCTACCCCAAACACACTAGCCTCCTTGCTGTTTGTCACACATTACAGTTATAATTTTATTTACGCCCTTGGCTATAATTCTTCTGCTAGAAATGATTCTTTTACTTTCAAGTGTTCAATTTCACCTTCTCAACAAAGCCCACACTGACTACTATATGTGATACGTATACTTGATATTACAACCATTCCCCCAGCTTCAGCAGTCCCCATACTACTTACCCCACTCTATGTTTTCTTCTATAGCATTTATCACTTTTTTATATACCACATATTATGTCATTTACTCATTTTTTTATGTTTATTGTTCATTGCTTATTCCCCACCCCTGGATCACTGCTAGAGTTTATGAGGACATGAATTTTGTCTCTTTCGTTCACTGATGAACAAAAGGGCCTAGAACAGTGTCCAGCAAGCAGTAGACACTCAATAAATATTTGCTGATGTTGAATGAATAAATTATTGGGAATCCAGCATTATGAATTGTTTTGCCCCATATTTTAGCAGCATGGTTTGATTAAAAATTTTCTGTAAAACAATTTGATTTTTAACCTATAATAGGAATTTGGACCAAGAGCTCTCATATTTATTTTTCAAACCAGCATTCTCTCAAGAAGGAAGGTGTCCTTACAAGAAATTCAGTAACATACCCAACACCAGTGAGCCAAGGTACGTCAAATGAATGTTAAACTTCCAGAGAAAATGCCATAGTTTTTATTTAACCTGTATGTATACCTATATGTGTACATATAAGTGCAAGCATATCTCATTTTATTGTGCTTCACTTTCTTGTGACTCACAGATACTAAGTTTTTTTGTTTTTGTTTTAAATAAATTGAAGGTTTGTGGCAACCCAGCATCAAGCAAGTCTGTCAGTACCATTTTTTCAATAGCACATGCACAGTTCATGTCATGTCACATTTTGCTATATCTTGCAATATTTCAAAGTTTTCCACTATTATTATTTCTCTTACAGTGATCTGTAATCCTTAATGTTACTACTGTAATTGTTTTGGGGCACCATAATATGCCCATAGAAGATGGCAAACTTAATCAATAAATGTTTTATGTGTCCTCACAGCTCCATTGACCAGTTGTTCCCCCCAATTCAATTCTTCTCTTTGGGCCTCCCTATACCTTGAGACACAACAATACTGAAATTAGCCAATTAATGACCCTACAATGGCATGTAAGTGTTCAAATAAGAGGAAAAGTCACATGTCTTTAACTTTCAATCAAAAGCTAGAAATGATGAAGCTTAGTGAGAAAAGCACATTGAAAATTGAGACAGGCTGAAAGCCAGGCTTCTCGAGCCAAATAATAAGCCAAGTTGCAAATGCAAAGGAAGAGTTCTTGAAGGAAAATTGAAGTGCTACTCCAGTGACCATATGAGTAATAAAAGAATAAAACAGTCTTCGTGCTGATATGCAGAAAGTTTTAGTGGTCTGGATAGATCACAGAAGACACAACATTCCCTTACATCAAAGCATAATCCAGAGCAAGGCCTTAACTCTCCTCAATTCTTTGAAGGTTGAGAGAGATAAGAAAGCTGCACAAGAAAAGTTTGAAGCGAGCAGAGGTTGGTTCATGAGGTTTAAGGAAAGAAGCCATCTGTATTAAGTCCATTCTCATACTGCTATAAAGAAATACCTGAGGACGGGTGTAGTGGCTTATGCCTGTAATCTCAGCACTTTGTGAGGCCAAGGTGGGAAGATCATCTGAGGTCAGGAGTTTGAGACCAGGCTGACCAACATGGTGAAACCCTATCTCTACTAAAATGACAAAATTAGCTGGGTATGGTAGTGTGTGCCTGTAATCCTAGCTACCTGGGAGGATGAGGCAGGAGAATCACTTGAATCCAGGAAGTGGAGGTTGCAGTGAGCCAAGATCACGCCATTGCACTCCAGCCTGGACAAAAAGAGCAAAACTCCATCTCAAAAAAAGAAAAACCTGAGACTGAGTAATTTACAAAGAAAAGAGGTGTAACTGGCTCATAGTTCTGCAGGCTATAAAAGAAGTATAGTGGCTTCTGTTTCTGGGGAGGCCTCAGGAACTTACAATCATGGTGAAAGGCAAAGGGGAAGCAAGGCATCTCACATGGCCAGAGCAGGAGGAAAAGAGTGAGGAGGGGGAAGGTGCTACACACTTTTAAACAACCAGATCTCGTGAGAACTCTATCACAAGAACAGCACTAGGGGATTGGTGCTAAACCATTCATGAGAAGCCACCCCCATGTCCAATCACCTTCCACCAGGCCCCACCTCCAGCCTTAGGGATTACCTTTCAATATGAGATCTGGAAAGGGACACAGACCCAAACTATATCACTATCTCTATAACATAACAGTGCAAGATGAAGTAGCAAGTGCTGATATAAAAGCTGCAGCAAGTTATCCAGAAGATCTAGCTCAGATCACTTATTAAGGTGGCTAAAGTAAACAACAGATTTTTAATGTAGATTAAACAGCCTGCTACTGGAAGAAGATGCCATCTAGGACTTTCACAGATGGAGTAAAGTCACACCTGGCTTCAAAGCTTCAAAGGATAGGCTGACTCAGATTAAAGAATAATGCAGTTCCTGACTTTAAGCTGAGGCCAGTGCTCATTTACCATTCTGAAAATCCTAGGATCTTTAGGAATTATGTTAAATCTATTATGCCTTTCCTCTATAAATGAAACAACAAAGCCTGGATGATAGTTCATCTGTTTACAGCATGGTTTACATATTTTTTTTTTTTTTTGAGACCAAGTTTTGCTCTTGTTGCCCAGGCTGGAGTGCAATAGCACGATCTTGGCTGACTGCAACCTCTGCCTCCTGCATTCCAGTGATTCTCCTGCCTTAGCCTCTTGAGTACCTCGGATTATATGCATGCGCCACCATGCAGGGCTAACTTTGTATTTTTTGTAGAGACAGGGTTTCTCCATGTTGGTCAGGCTGGTCTCAAACTCCTGACCTCAGGTGATCTGCCTCCCTCGGCCTCCCAAAATGCTGGGGTTACAGGCGTAAGCCACCGCATCTGGCCAGTTTACAGAATATTTTAAGTTAATTATTGAGACCTGCTGCTAAAAAAAAAAATTCCTTTCAAAATATTACTGCTCATTGACAACCTATCTGGTTACCAAAGAAGTCTGATGGAGATGTACAGAAGATTAATGTTGTTTTATGCTCTCCAACTCAACATCCAGTTGGTAGCCTAGGGATCAAGGAGTAATTTTGATTTTCAAGTCTTCTTTTAAGAAGTACATTTCATAAGACTATGGCTGCCATGAACAGTGATTCCTCTGATGGATCTAGGCAAAGTAAATTGAAAAACTGAAAGGATTCATTATTCTAGATGCCATTAAGAACATTTATGGCTCATGGGAAGAAGTCAAAATACCAACATTAACAGGAGTTTGAAAAAGGTTGATTCCAACCCTTACGGTTTCAAGGTGTCTGTCAGTGGAGAAAATAACTGTAGAGGTGACAGAAATAACAAGAAAACTAGAATTAGAAGTTGAACCTGAAGATGTGACTGAATTGCTGCAATCTCAAAATCAAACTTGAAGGGATGAGAAATTGCTTCTTATGGATAAGCACAGAAGTGGTTTCTTGAGATGGAGTTTACTCCTGGTGAAGATGCTGTGAACACTGTTGAAATGACAAAAAAGATTTAGAATATTCCACAAACTTAGTTGATGAAGTGGCAGAGTTGGAGAAGACTGACTTCAATTTTGAAAGAAGTTCTACTGTGGGCAAAATGCAGTCAAACAGCATTGCATGCTACAGAGAAATCTTTCATGAAAGGAAGAGTCCATTGATGAGGCAAACTTTATGGTTGTCTTATTATAAGAATTGTCACAGCCACCCTCACCTTCAGTAGCCACCACCCTGACCAGTCAGCAACCATCAACATCAAGGCAAGACCCTCCACCAGCCAAAAACTTATAACTTGCTGAAGGCTCAGATAATTGTTAGCATTTTTCAGCAAAAAAGTATTTTTACATTAAGGTATATGATTTTTTTCCAGACATAATGCTATTGCACACTTAACAGACTACAGTATAGTGAAATATAACTTTTATATGCACTGGAAAACCAAAATATCTGTGACTTGCTTTATTGCAACATCTACTTTATTGCAGTGGCCTGGAATTGACCCTGCAATATCTCCAAGGTGTGCTTATATATATAAACCTCTGCTTTTAATTTTATGATACTGCAGGGCCCAGAATTTCATTTGGAGTTAATGTAAACATTTGACAAATTTGCCTGTTTTGAGAACAATGTTTTTAAACCCTCAAGTCCTCTGTCTGCTGATCAAAATGAACATTAACTTCCTAATATACTTTACATTTTCCTAGCATCTACAAGGTCAGCTTTATCTATCTTTTGATTTAAAAAAATTTTTTTAAGTTAATTTTTTTTTAAGAGATGGGGTCTTGCTCTGTTGCTCTGACTAGAGTGCAGTGGCATAATCATGGCTTGCTGCAGCCTTGACATCCTGGGAGCGCTTGGCAATTTTTTTTTTTTTTTTTTTTTAAGAAATGAAGTCTCTCTGTGTTACCCAGGTTGGTTTCAAACTCCCGGGCTCAGGCAACTCTCTTGCCTCATTCTTCTGAAGTACTGGGATTACAGGCATGAGCCACCACATCTGTAAGGTTTTATTTCATCTTATTTTATTTTTTGAGGCGGAGTCCTGCTCTGTTGCCCAGGCTAGAGTGTACAGGTACCATCTCAGCTCACTGCAACCTCTGCCTCCTGGGTTCAAGAGATTCTGGGACTATGGTGGTGCATTACCACACCTGGCTAATTGTTTTGTATGTTTAGTAGAGAAGGGGTTTCACCATGTTGGCCAGGCTGGTCTTGAACTTCTGATCTCAAGTGATCTGCCTACCTCAGCCTCTCAAAGTGCTGGAATTATAGGCATGAGCCACTATGCCCAGCCACAGCCTTGATATTTTTAACATGTGGAACACCAAAGGTTTTTGTAGGTAAAATTGTGTGTATATTTATTTTCAATGGTGGGAAAGGATTTTGCATGAGATTTTCAAAGAAGTCTCTGACCTAAAATAGGTTAAGAATTATAGCATTAATAAGACAAGAGAAACAGCCTTTTAAAGTGGCAAAAAGAAAGAAAGAAACAGAATCATAGCATTAAACTTGTAGAGCTCCTCTATTAAAAATTAGCTTCCTAAGGACAGGAACCATGTCTGTCCCATCATCAAATCTCAGTTTCTAGCAAGTAGTAAATAATAAATGTTGAACGAATAAAATAAGAAAATAAATAATGAATGAACAAATCACTAATGTACTACCTCAGCTCACACTATCTCTTCTTTGCCCAGCTTTCTAAGGGGTGGGTCACAGTAGCACATATGACTGATAATGAGTCAGAAAGGGAATAAGACTTGCTCAATGCAGCTATCACTAAACTTGGCTCGGGGGAACCTTTATAGGAGTGACAAATCTTAAAGATGCAAAAGACATTTGTCTTTCTGTACATTTTTTTTTTTTGGGGGGAGGAAGGCAGGAAGGGAGGGAAGGAGGAAGGAAGGGATGAAGGAAAGAAGGAAAGGAGGAAGGGGGGAAGGGAGGGAGGGAGGGAGGGAGGGAGGGAGGGAAGGGAAGGAAGGAAATCAAGCAATGAGAGAGACATTGCCGACCTGGATCTAGAGGTTTACAAGTTGATTTCTTTTTTTTGAGAGAAGGAAAGAAAAAAAAAATGAGTAAAGGAGAGGAAGAAAGAGGAAGAGAACGAGGCAGGGTGAACAGAAATATTGCTTTATTCTGAAAAAAAAAATGGGTATGAATAATGGCCAATGTTTCATTTAAACCTATGAGTAGGTGTGATGTGGTATTGACAAGAATGTTTATTTTGTGTATTTGAAGTGGAGAGCTCTATAAATATTTATTAAGTTTACTTGTTCCGGATCTGAGTTCGAGTCCTTGATATCCTTATTAATTTTCTGTCTCATTGAGTCTAAGTCTCTATGTATCTGGGTGTTAGGATCGTTAGCTCTTGTTGTTGCATTGATCCTTTTACCACTATATCTTTGTTGCTTTCAAATCTATTTTATCTGATACGAGAATTGCAATTCCTGCTTTTTATTTATTTATTTATTTATTTTTGCTCTCTATTTGGTTGGTAAATCTTTCTCCATCCCTTTGTTTTGAGTCTTTGTGTATCCTTGCATGTGAAACAGGTCTGGATGTAACATGCCGTTGGGTTTTGGCTGTGTCTTTTGATTGGGGGATTTAGTCGATTTAAATTTAGGGTTACTGCCATTTGATGTTAACTGGCTGGTTTATCCATTTGTTGATATAAATTCTTCTTTATGTTGGTGCTCTTTACTTTTTGGTATATTTTTAGAAAGGCTAACACTGGTTGTTTCTTTCTGTGTGTAATGCTTCTTTCAGAAGCTCTTGTAAAGCAGGCCTGGTGGTAATAAAATCTCTGAGTACTTGCTTGTTCATAAAAGATTTTATTTTTCCTTCAGTTGTGAAGCTTAGTTTGGCTGGATATGAAATTCTGGGCTGAAGGTTCTGTTCTTTGAGGATATTGAATATTGGCCCCCACTCTCTTCTGGCTTGTAGAGTTTCTGCTGAGGGATCTGCTGTAAGTCTGATAGGCTTGCCTTTGTGGGTAACCTGACCTTTCTCTCTGGCTGCCCTTAGTATTTTCTCCTTCATTTCAACCCTGGTTTATCTAACGATTATGTGCCTTGGGGTTGCTCTTCTTGAGGAATATCTTTGTGGTGTTCTCTGTATTACCTGGGGTTGAATATTGTCCTGCTTTGCTAGTTTAGGAAAATTTTCCTGAATAATATCCTGAAGGGTATTTTCCAGCTTGGATTCATTCTCTCCGTCGCATTCAGGTACACCTATCAAACGTAAATTTGGTCTTTTCACATAGTCCCATATTTCTTGGAGACTTTGCTCATTCCTTTTTATCCTTTTATCTCTAATCTTGTCTTCTTGTTTTCTTTCATTACGTTGGACTTTGACCTCTGATATTCTTTATTCTGCTTGAACAATTTGAGTGTTTAAACCTGTGCATACTTCTCAGAGTTCCTGTATTGTATTCTTCAGTTCCATTAATTCACTTATATTTCTCTCTAAGTTGTCTATTCTCAATAGGATTTCATCAAACCTTTTTTCAAAGTTCTTAGTTTCTTTACATTGGGCTACAACATGTTCTTTTACCTCACAGGAGTTTTTTATTATCCATTCCATGAAGTGTGATTCTGTTATTGGGATGCACTCATTCTCCAACAAGCCTTGTTCCATTGTTGATGTGGAACTGTGATCATCTTTAGAGGGAGAGGCGTTCTGATTTTGAGTATTCTCAGCCTTTTTACGCTGGTTTCTTCCCATCATTGTAGATTTATCCTCCTGTCGTCTTTGAAATTACCAACTTTCAGATTAGGTCTCGAGTGGACGTCCAAGTTGTTAGTTCCCAGGGCCAGAACAGCGGCGTTAAGACTGATGGTGCTTTTCTGCCCAGGATTCTCCTGTCTGGCTTCCTTCTTGTGTCTGTAATAAGCGACTCTGCCTTCCCGGGGCTCCAAACCTCGGTCAGAAGGGGAACCAGTCTCGTTTACTCTGCGCTGAGAGCTGCTGCGCCGCGGTGCCATCACAGCCGCTGCGCCGGCCTCAGGAGTTATGCTGGGGACCCCTGTGGGTCCTCCAAACCTCGGTCGGAAGGGGAGTCAGCCCTGTTTACTCTGTTCCGAGAGTTGCCATGCTGAGGTGCCGGCGAAACCGCTGCACCAGCCACAAGAGTCACGCTGGCAACCCGTGTGACTCCTCCACTGGGGTTCTTCTACTCCGTGAGCGACCAGAATTTGTCTGAAAGTGTGGCGTCCTCTAGTTCTCTGCGCTTCCACTGAGAGCTGCAATCCTGAGATGTTAGCGATCGGCCATCTTGGATTGTTCCCATTGTCTTTCTGTACATTTTTAAAGTAAAATCTGGCCAGGCGCGGTGGCTCATGCCAAACAAGGAACTTAAAGGTAATAAATATTACCTTCACCCCTTAAGCCTGGGTCCAGGAGCAAGCTCATAGCAGCCTGTACTCTCGGCCTTTCCTCTTAGTACCTAGAAGTACATAGCAGCTCCAAAGCCCAGCACTTTGGGAGAACGTGGCAGGAGGACTGCTTCATCCCAGGAGTTTGAGACCAGCATGGGTAACAAGGAGAGACTCTGCCTCTACAAATACAAAAAATTAACTAGGCATGGTGGCATACACCTGTAGTCCCAGCTACTCAGCTGGCTGAGGTAGGAGGATTACTTGAGCCTGGAAAGTCAAGGCTGCAGTGATCTGTGATTGTGCCACTGTACTCTAGTCTAAGTGAAAGACTGAGACTGTTTCAAAAAATAAAAACTACTTTTATGGAGTTTTCTGAGGCATTGCTTTCCTGGGGGCTTTGGGGCTGCTATGTACTTCTAGGTACTAAGAGGAAAGGCCAAGAGTACATGCTGCTAAGAGCTTGATCCTGGACCCAGGCTTAAGGGGTGAAGGTAATATTTATTACCTTTAAGTTCCCTGTTTGCCTGTCCAACTCAGTTTATAAAATTAAGAAAGGAGACAGAAATTCAAATGAGAATTCTGCCCAGGAGTAAACACTGTAGATCTATACTGCATCTTTTGGAACCTGAGTATGTTAGACAGAACACAGAAGCTACTCTTCCCTAACAGCATACCCTGACCTTCAAACGGATTTTGAAATTTTTATTATCCAACTCCTACATTATATTGGCCATAAAGAATCCTTTCTATTCATAAGGGAATTATCCATTAAGATTGATCAGGCTATTATTGAGGACAGATTCCATCTCTGGAATGGCTGCATCTGTTCTGCTGAGGGAACTTTCTGCCATGGATGGCTTGGCTATGAATTACCAGAAATATTCAAGAGGACAGTAAGTTGCCTTCTGTCTCTGCTTTACACACAGCAGAAAAACCCAAGTGGTTATGGAATACAGTGAGGTATCCCAAAACAATCAGTTACCAGAAGCTAAGATTACAGTGATGACTGACCTTAGAGATGAAGCCTTCCAAGAACCTCTTCTCTATTTTTCTTTTTCTTTTTTTAAAATAAACAGTCTCGCTCTGTCACTGAAGGTGTAGTGCAGTGGCACGATCTCAGCTCACTGCAATCTCCATCTCCTGAGTTCAAGCCATTTTCCTGCTTCAGCCTCCTTAGTAGCTGGATAATGAGCGCCTGGCTAATTTTTATATTTTTCATAGAGACAGAGTTTCACCATGTTGGCCAGGCTGATATCAAACTCCTGATCTCAAGTGATCCACCTCCCTTGGCCTCCCAAAGTGCTGAGATTACAGGCGTGAGCTACCACAGCCAGCCTCAAGAACCTCTTCTACTAACCAGACCTAGAAATGAGATTCTTGATAATGGAATGGATTATTTGAAGCACACAAAATATAAGGGAAGTCAAACAAACATGAATACAACAGGGAACTCTTCCTTAAAGCTTTTATGCTGGGCAAAACAACTCTAACTGTGGGCAGGAGTTGTTCAAACTTCATTACTCAATGTTAAAAAAAAATGCTTCAGTGGGTACCTACCATGTATTAAAGGATAGCACTGGGCAAGGTGAGGGTACCAGGGTGAACAAGATGAGAATCCATGATCTCTAATACTAGAGATAAAATATGAACACAATAACTGGAATGCAGGTGAAAAAGAGATACAGATACATTTAGAAGAGATAGAACATTTAGCTAGTGGCAGTGGGGTATGTTGCTTCTGCTTGGAGGATTAAAGAAAATAGGAAAGAGGGTTGGGGCCTTGGATACCCAGGCTAAGGAGGCTTCTTTTCTTTTCCCTTTTTCTCTTCTTCCTTTCTCCCTTTCTTCCTTTCTAATACTTTACATCCTTGAAAGTTTTAAGTACAGAACTGAAGATGATAAGAACTGAAGATGATAATCTCCGGAGAGATTAATACGGTAGCAGTGAAGTTTGTAGCAATGGGAGTTTAGCGACAGAGCCAACTGATGTTTAGGATATAAATCAACAGGTCCAGGCAACTAACTGTTGTGGGGATCACTGAGTGGGAAGAGTCAAAGGTGACTTGGAGAATGCTGATGTCATTCAAGAACAGATGCCCAGGAGAGAAACAGAAGAAGGCTGACAGATGATGTGTGGTTCTGGACATACTGAGGTACTAATGAAGCTACCTGACAGGCCTTTGGAAATGTGGGACTGAAGCCCTGGGGAGAGGTCTGGATTGTTGAAGCTATAGATGTGAGACTATTCTGTATACAAATGAGGTGACATCATGAAAGTAGATGAGCTCACCAAGGGAAAGAGTAGAGGAGGAAAGAAAAGGACAAAGGGCAGAACCTCAGGGAATACTTGCATTTAGGACAAGAAAAAGACCCAGATGACACCAGCAAAAAAGGAATCATCAGAGCAGTAATCTGAGAATCAGAAGACTGTTACAAAGCAAGAAAGAGGCTCAAGAGGGCACAGGAGGTCACAAGAGAAAATGGAACCCAGAGGTCAAAAAGGATGGGACTTGAGAAAAATGCCAGTGGTACACTGAGGAGCATTTTTCACTAGACTTTT